TATTGTATAGTAAATTTGAACACACACACAAACCAGCAGGGTTAAATTAAATGCAAACTCAAACGATGTGTGTCAAACCTTTCATAAAGTTAAATTATCGACATGGAAAAATGCTTTTAGTACAATAAAAATTATTCCTAGAGATAGAAATAATGTTATGACTGCTGGCTATTATAAGAAGATGAAATCGTCATCCCAGGCGTCAATCTGTCTCTGATAGCAGGTAAACTCTGTGAAGGGGAACCTATGTCGCGGCCACGACACGAACACCCATTTTCAGGCAGGGGACGAGCAGCATGGGAATAAAACAAGGAGGACACTAATTAGCGATTCCAGGAACCGAGAACACGTATCGTAGCTCAGCACCAGACCTCTTCTCCCGTTCATCGTCGGAGTCTACAACACGCCGTGTTGGATCCAGCTGGTGGAACCCGTGGTGTATGAGAGAGGATCGGGATACATCGAGAAGGACGGAAGATCGAAGAAGGAGAGAAAACCATCCGAAACATTCGGGCCAGCCACGAGTGTCAACTCATGGAATGCATTACCCTTGACCCCCATCCTCCTTCCACGTCTCTCCTTTCACCGATCCTCTCTCACGAACTCACCCTTGTCATCGAGGGAATTTTCCCCGGAATTCTTAATGCTCGTCGATACACTGAAATTAATGACAAGAGTATCCAATGCGTCTGATTTGAAATCTATACGATGTAGAGACTGATTTTACGATATACAATATTTTTTGAATTGTTAAAAAATTAACTACCTTTTAATAAATACAGTTGTCATTTTGGAATAACTGAAGAATTCTTAAGAAATACGAACAAATAAAATAATACAAAATTAGCTTTCCAATATCTAAAATTAATAGTTGATAGAACAATCCAATGGACTGTATACCTTGCACAGAAAAAAATGGTCTGGTTGAATTAAATAGTGCTGAAAAATAAACGAATCAGAATTTTCTGGTTAAATCTAGAGTTCCCATTGAGATAACTAGAATTTTGATTGATATAATTAGTATGGTAAAAATATTCTGATAGATTTTACTAAAAATATTGTATCAACCAGAATTCTGGAATTTTTTTCAGTATGATCTTTCAAAACTTGAATGTTACATGTTTAATGATTAGCGAGAACAATAAAGTTTACACATTTTTTAACATTATAAACTTTATAATTTTACCAAAATTTAATTAAATATTTATTTATCGCAGCATTATTATATTCTTAGATGTTACCATAGAAATAAGAAAATTATCGTGCTTTCCATGTACCAGTCACGCGTATAAACATGTGCAAGTTCGAAAATAATTTGGCAACATAAGTATAATGTCCGTGCAATTACATAAAAGGAAGAAATCGAGAGAATTATCATAGCTGACAGCAAGCGAATTGAAATCTTTTTGTACGCCCGTCAGCTTAACGATCTTCCATGATGTATCGTTGCGAGCTTATTGTGTCGCGTTGATATAAATCCTTCGAAGTCTAAACGTGTTTCATGGATAACAGCTATGATACATGTGGATATTACGCCTTCATTAATCAATTGCATCATTTAATTAAATTAGCCGTTTCGCTTAATTTAATGATATGTAAATTAAGTTCCTCGATGAATAATCCGCCAGACTGTCGTCATTTGCGTCTAAGAGGAGGAAAAGTTATATTAAACGTTCTCCCTTAAATATATATATATATACAATAGATAAGGAATCGGGATGAAGTAATAAATCCTGAACTCGTTATCCGCGTCAAGTAAAAGAATTTCTGATATAAGTCGGTTAGTAAAGCAACTTAAAGATCAAGCGAGATCCGTGTGAATCGTTTCGGGTAATAGTGTTATCAGACGCGACTCGTGTAGGACACGATGTGTTTCTGATACCAGGACCGAGCTACCTGAGTCGAGACACCGAGAGAAGTGTTCGAACGACTCATCATTTCGAACAAATGTAAAATAAATATAAAATTTTTTCCTTACTCGCATGAATAATTTTTTAACTACAATTATATTTTTTCGTATTGCATATATAAAAAAAAGAGATTATATTACGAATACAGTTTTGTTGAAATATCTACAGATTTAGCTGAATACAGATCTCAAAATAATTTTACTTGAACATCAAAATAATTATTATATAGGACACTTAAATTAGTTGCTAGAATATCAAAACTTTTTGCAACTTGTTTATCATACTTGACTTTTCTATACTCTGATGGCCCAACAAAATTATTTTCAAATCTGTATCTGCCTAAATTTTTAGATACTTCAGCAAAATCGTTCTTTCCGTATATACAGGGTGTCCCGACCTGTTTTGCCAATCACTTTTGTGTAGATAGAGCGGACTAAACTGAGTCGAAAAGTCCTCTACCATTTTGCAATTTTCGCAATAGTTAACAAGATATTAATTACTAAAAATTGCAAAATATTAGTCTTAAATCATTTTTTACTCAAATACTATCAACTTTACAGAAAAACTGCAATATACAAAAATTATTTATTTTCTTCTCATAAAGTTCTGAGAATTTTTTTAGAATTTTTTATCAACTTTTTAGTACTGCATTTTTTTATTTTTATCAACATGAGAAAATACGTATTAAAAAATTCTGAAAAAATTCCGAAAAATTTCTCAGAATTTTATATGAGAAGAAAATAAATAATTTTTGTCTCTTGCAGTTTTTCTGTAAAGTTGATAGTATTTGAGTAAAAAATTATTTAAGAACAATATTTTGCAATTTTTAGTAATTAATATCTTGTTAACTATTGCAAAAATTGCAAAATGGTAGAGGACTTTTCGACTCAGTTTAGTCCGCTCTATCTACACAAAAGTGATTGGCAAAAAAGGTCGGGATACCCTGTATATATATTTCTAGGTAATTAATTGTCATCTTCAAACACGAATTATCATCATGATGATATCGTTTTATTTTATTCTAATTTTTCTCATTCCAATCTATTTCAATTTTCATAAGATGCGTAAAGAAAAAGATATCTTTTTGTGCACGTTTACAAATTTCTTCCGTTCGCTCACAGTTTACAGATTTCTCTACATACGAACATACGCTGTACACAAGTCCCGAGAATTTTGTATTCCTTTTTTTCTCTTTCTCTCTTTCTCATGTACTTGAAGCTACTAAATTCGAAATCCCAAACTGGCGAGGGTAAAACTAACTGACCGGACCCAAGAGCGGTGCTGCGGCGCACGGTACCACGACCGTTTCATTTAATTAAGACTTGTTTTTATTTCTGGTAAACTCGTTCGGGTATTTTAGGAAGCGATCTGCTCGGCAGCTTACCTCGCCTGGGACTGTACGTTAAATTAATTTATTGGCTTGCCTAACGCAGGTAGTAATCGCTACGTCGCGAAACACACGGACGCTAATTCGACAATACGGAAAATCGCACAGAATGCCGAGCGAAACATCGCCGTACTGATCGTGACGTGTGAAATTTACACGAGTCAAGCGAATTCCACTTCGGCGATTTGTTGCTCTCTCAGTTTATCGGAAAACCAATCGGTGTAAATGACTGTTCCACGCGAGTCGACTTTAAGTACATAAGTGCATAAGATTATTGATTTAGACGCTCGAGTACGCAAAAAGCGTTATATTTATTCCAACATGTCGAACCAATTCAGACGCAAAATAATTTTCTGTTTACTCTCATACTTTTCACGTCGTGTATCTATATCTCACAAGATACTACTGTAATAATAGCAGCGTGTCGCTTTTATTTAACGTTTAGTGCTCGTTGAACGGGATGTGAGCGGCCCCGGAGCGTTATTTCTTCTTAATAGTAATTCTAGAGTACCAGCGAAACTGGTTACGGCGGTTACGGCGATACATAAAGAAGAACTATTGGATTAATAATCACTGGCGTGCCTGCTGGGGAATAGCTTCGCGTTCATTTCTATATCTCACAACGAGATTGCCAAACAGCTCGTAAAGAGTAATCGTCGCGTATCGATGTAAGAAACGCACTCTTTGAGATTTAATCTTTCTGGGCCTCATGAGAGATTACGTTGATTTCGACTGAACAGATAGCGATGCAATTACATCTTACTTCTGATTTAGATTATAACGTAAAGAAAAATATTCTGGTTAAACTAACAAAAAGGTCCAACCAGAATAGCATTTTGGTGAGTCCAAACAGAACTTTCAGTTATAATGACTAGAAAATGGTTACGCGCCATTCCAGTTGGGTCTTTTGGTTTAATCAGAACATCTTTCTCATGTAGATACAAAAGAAAGTAGGATTGACGAGGTAATATTTTAAAAATACTTTGCACAATTGCAGAAAACTGTAACTAATACTCGAATATTTTTACATGATAAAAGAACAATGTAATTCCTATCTGAACAAGCTTGTAGTTCGCGCACTCGTTGATCGACGTGCGTTAGGTTGGTGCAATGACCGATGCAAAAGTCGACGATAATGCAACGCGAGAACTGTTGGAGAGAACTTTTCTGGCAGAGGCAACTCGACGATCGCGTTCGCGGGTGTTAAAAACCGCAGAATTCAACTCGCACACGGTGGTAGGAAAGGGGAAAAAATACGGACCGGCGTCAGCGCGCGAAACAATATCCATCCGCGCCTCTCGGACGTGAAATACACCGTGGATTATTGCCGCGGTAGAGAGGACAGTTGAGAAAAAGAGAAAGAGACAGAGAGAGCGAATCGGAAAAAAGGGATAACAAAACGGAGACAAAGAGGACGATAAAAAGACGCGGCAGTGAAAGGACGCGAGAAAGGTGGAGGAGGTGGGAGTGAGACGGAGACGGATTCAGAGAGGGTTGCTCGTAGAGGTACCCGGGGCCAGGTACCCCCGATTCTGGGAAACGTGTTCTGCCAGCTTGTTAGGTGTCCCCAACAGTTCTCTAATATATGACTGGCACTCTCTACCCTTTTTTGAGAGAGGAGGATGAGAGAGGGCGGGAGGAAGAGAGAGAGGAGAGGGCTAGGTCCACGAGAGAGCGTCCAGTTAGAATGCCATCGGGCTTACCTGCACTCACGACCGCGGCGACGTTCCTGCGTGCCCGCTCGCTTTGGTCCCCGTTGTTTTACGGCGACAAAAAAAAGCGCGTCCTCCTCCTCCTCCTCCTCCACCTCCGTGCATTGCGCGATAATTAATGGACCCGTGCGCAGCGAGAGAATCCGTTCTCCGTCGATTTGATTGATGGTGGCTGCTGGCGATCCTTTAAAACGGTCACGTGGGTCGTGACCATGATACCGCTCCGGCATTTGTGCTTGTGCATCGCTGGAAAATGACGAACAATTATTTCTTATTGTTATGTTATCGAGAATAAAAAATGTGTGTGCTGGTAAACTAATATTCCGTTAATAATGTAATCGCAATTTAACATAATCATACAAGGAGCTCCATCAGGAACTTTATTGTCCAAAATAATTGCAGCGGAGGTTGCATTGAAAAATTTTGGTGTAAATAACTATTTATTTTGTTGATATATGAAGATTTTTGTAAGTCACATATTAACAAAATAAATAGTTATTTACATCAAAATTTCTCTCGGTATGTATGTTTATAAAAAAAATAATTTTGCCGAAATATCTAAAAATTTAAGTAAATACAGATCTGAAAATAATTGTGTTGAATCATCAAAATAATTATGTAGAAAACGTCAAGCATGACGAGCAGTAGTGCAAAATATTTCAACATTCTAGCAATCAGCTTGAGCGTCCTACATATAATTATTTTGATAGTTATAATCGTGGTAGATTCAAAATAATAATTTTGATAATTATTTTGAATCTAACACAATTATTTTCAGATCAGTCTGTATCTAAGATACAAATATTGAGATACTTTAGCAAAATCATTCTTTTCATGCATGTTCGATAAAGTTTAGCGAGAAATGTTCAAAAAAGAAAATCATTAGTGCATTACTGATTGTGAGAAAAATGATCTAGTTGGATTAAACAGTAGGGGAGACCTGGACTGGTTGTCGTACGGGATTGATTGTCAAAATGCTTATAACTCAAACAAGACACGGCAGAAAAATCTCTTTTTTTGACTGTAGATAGAGAAAAAATGAAGTCGGTGAGTAAATTTTTATAATCACCTATTTTTTATTATCTGACAAGTCTTTGGCATTATTAATCGTAATATCCCTATATTCATAGAAAATGACATATCTTAGAAGATCTTTGCTACAATTAAGTAATAATTATTCTGACTAAGTTTGTGAATATAATCTCTTTTATTAAAAATAGTTATGTGGGATAGATTGACCAAAATGAGACGAGGTTAGGTGACAATTAATTTTAATATCTTTAGAGGACACATTTTCAGAGAATATACGTACAAATATATTATATTTCATATAGATATATGTTTTTTCATTTTTCATATAGAAACTATGGTACAAAAACAAATTACGTATTTTATGATTAAAATAACTATTTTATTTGTATTAATACTATAATTACTATTATTTCTCAAAATGTAGAACTGATATTAAAATAAAAATTGTGTTTTTTATATGTGTTGTCCATAACAAATATGCTATTGCCAATTCTAAAACGTGTGACAATCAACCTAGAACACGGGATTAATTGTCATATTTTCGCAGTTTCATTTAAAATTAAATAACTTATTTTTATGATATGATGAATTCACGAGTAATGTTTTTTTAATACCTAAAGGATGTAGGTATGTTGTAACATAATATTTTAAAATCAGGCATCCACTTTTTTCTAAAAATCAATAATTAAAAACTGTGACAATCGGCCCCGGTCTCCCTAATTCTGATGAAAAATGGATAACTAGACCTCTGATTGATATAATTATTCTAGTAAAAAAATAAGAATTCTAGTAGTAGACTTTATCAGAAAGATTGTATCAACCAAAATTCCAGTTATTTCATCTAGAATTCTAATAAATTTAACTAGAGAGAAATTTCTGATTCGTCCATTTTCAACCAAAAATTTTTTTCAGCGATGAATTACGTAATCGAGTTATGAGTTTAAGAACAGCTGATGGTCATATAAAATCGAGCATTTCCAAGATCGAGCAGTCGCGCGAAGGAACAAAGATCAATCGATCATCGCTGAAATCAATCGGCTACTCCGCGCGCGCTTCCCGATGAGGTCGATGATGTCTAGTCACAACACCATTGTTTCAATGACCCGCTGCCCCGCCCAGTAGGTGGCACCAACCTTCACATACTAATGAGCCAACCAGTTTCAAAGATCATCAACGCACGCTAGCGGAGAGATGAGGTGTTGAGAAGGCCGGGCCTTTTCTCGGGATAGAAGAGTTACTGTGATTCTTGTTACTTTCAACAAGTCTCGATTACACTTCCCGAAGAATTTACAAACCAGATTACATTCTCTCGATTATACTAAATTAATTTATTCGTTGTACCAGAGAATATGACTTTAGATCAAAACTGATCCAAAAGCGTGGCGATAAAAGAAAGTAACTTCTACATACATAGAATATTACTCCACTCTATTTGTGCCTATTTTCATCAATATATAGATTAACTTTAATCTCGGTTCAATTTATTCTTTATCTTTCTCTGAGTCTTATGCTCGTTTTTATCAATATAGATTTTAATCTTGATTCAACTTCCTCTTCATCTTTTTCTAACTATTCATAGAATTAGAAAAAGACGAAGAATTAATTGAACCGAAATTAAAGTTGAACTATATTAGTAGAAATGACTATTAGAACTAGAAAAAGAAGAGTAACCAAGATTAAAGTAAATCTGCATTGGTAATAATAAGCATATGGATACTCAAATCGATACCAATCAACCGAGAAGTCGTGAAAGAAGCACAAAGCTGTCATTAAAATTGTTAGGCCTATCGCCTAACAAGTATCAAAGCAATGCGCTATCGCGACGGGGCAAAACGATGAGAGTCGAAGGGCAGGGGAGGGCTTCCATCGAAGCGGGCTTTAGGGGGTCCCGACGTAAACCGATCGATCGTACGTGCGAGGTATCGATACCGGCTGGAAATGAGGCAGCTCCGTGACGTCCGTAACATCCAGCGTGAATGAGGCGCTAACGACCAGTGATTACCACGCTCGCACGCGGGGCTCACGAGCGTGCACGGCTGTAACTCACGCACGAGTAACGCACGCACGCACGGACGCGGGCTGACGAATATAATCACGCGAGTAGGTGAGGATGTCCATCAATCCTGGGCCGCGCGCTAAGCGCGGGACCTCCCGCGATGTTTCTCATCTTCTCACCGGCTCCGACATGGGGCGTCGTCTCTTGCCACCCCGACGGACGTCTTCGAAGCTCTTGGTGTGAGGAAGAAGCGTCCGTGGACTTCTGACAGGACGGACGCGCGAAATCAATGAGCCACCAGCGGCTACCACATCCCCCGAAGTGCGAAGACACGTGCAAAATAAGGTGCGCGATTGAAAGGGATTTATAATGTCGTGAGAATCGCTCGTAGAGATCAGCAAGACAAATAATAAATAAGTGAAAAGTAAAACAAGTTAAGAGAAAGACCCTTTCGACAATCTGCAACTTGCGACAGGATTTGAATCATATTTTTATTCTGATTCATTTTAATGTATTCTACATGAGAAAAACAGTTTTGTTGAAGTATCTAAAAATTTAGTTAAATCTATGAAAATAATTTTATTGTATTATCAAAATAATTGGAAATATGTGGGACGCTCTCAAGCTGGTTGCTGAAATGTCAAAATTGTTTGCAACATTGCTCGTCGTGCTTGAGTTCCTTGCATAATCGTTTTGATACTTCAACCAAATTATTTTCAAATCTATATCTACATTTTTAGATACTTCAGCAAATTTGTTCTTCTTATATATAATACGTTGTTAGTCATATTGTACAGGTTGTATCTAAAATAACCTACTAATCATATAGTGCTATTCCTAATAAAAAAACTGAATCGAAAAATCCTCTACCATTTTGCAATTTTCGCAATATTTTTTTTTAGTTACCCAATGAGTAAAATCGACGTATAAGACAACTTGAAAATATCTTTAAGAGATTTTTAAAAAATATTTTCAAAATATTTCACAAAGAACACTGAAAGATATCTTAAAATTATCATATACATCGATTTTATGATTTATCCGTTTATTCGGCAACCTTTAGAAACTAATTATTGCGAAAATTGCAAAATGGTAGAGGACTTTTTAACTTAGTTTTTTATTAGGAATAGCACTGTATGATTAATTTTTTTATTAGGAATAGCACTGTATGATTAATGAGCGTTATTTCAGATACACTCTGTATACATTATATTCATACATGTCAAATCGTGTACTGGCAAAAATTGCAGTAACTGAAGTATCGAAATTTCCAGCGTCACAATAGATTTCACTCATGTTGATGAGAAATTCTTTCAATCGACCTACTGCTCGCTAGATTCGTAAACCACCTGGGGTCTATGTGCTACATCAGCGTAAGATTAATACGACTCGTAGATTCTCTTAAATTAATATCTACCGTTAGCCAATACCTTTCACGTCACGTCGCAGCTCACGGCGAAATTCCACTGACAATCGTTCCTCGTGAAATAAATCTCTAAACAACCTTCAGACGTAAAATACGAGAGTAAAAAATATCGTACTTTGGTATCTTCAAATAGTTATTAAATAGAAAGTGGGCATGATCTTGATTGCGATAATATTAAAATTTGTGACGAAGAAAAAGTTTTATCAAAAAGACTGATATCGGAGATGATTCATATGAAAAAATAGAAACACGGACTGAATTTGCAAACTGACACTTCATCTCTGGATCCAATATATTTGAATATTTTAGCGGATTTATGACACTTTTCCCTCTTTTTGTTCTATGTTGTTTATTAATTTGACTTGGATTCTCCAAGATTATTTTCACACTATGTCTATAATGTTCTCACTGCTAACATTGTCTATGACTAAATATATCAGCGTTTTTCATACAAGTTTTAATTTATCTGTATTCCTGTATTCTAATTCATCAATAATTAATATTTTTATTATAATATATAGTAAACTTGACAATTTGATAATCATGTACACGCAGATATCGTTATCAACTTCAATGTTCATGTAAGTGCATATTTTGTTACAATTAATTTCTTTATATGACAGCACCTATATTGCCGCAGTATGTTGTTTAATTTATTGGAATTTAATGAACAACCAATAACAAGATGTGGACATGAGAACATTCGACTATATTAACTCTCGTATACCGTCACTTTTAATGATTCTTATTGCGATATTCGAAGTTTATTTACATACTTATTCATATTATACT